TTCCTCGTCATCTTCTTCCTCATCCTCCTCCCTCGTGGTTGCTGCTCCACCACCACCACCTCTTCCCGCACCTCCTGATCCTCCTCCGCCTCCTCCTCCTCCTCCTCTTCTTCCTCCTCCTGTTGCTGCTCCACCACCACCACCTCTTCCCGCACCTCCTGATCCTCCTCCTCCTCTACCTCCTCCTCTACCTCCTCCTCTTCCTCCTCCTCGCCTCCTTCTTCCTCCTCCTCCCCACTCTCCGCGCTCTCCCCCTCCTTCGAGGAGGCCCACTCGTGGTACTCGGCCAACAGCGTTGGGTGGGCGGCCAGGTACTGCGGGAGCTGTGCGTGACGGCGGGCGGGAGAACAAACAGTGAGGAGAATGTTGGCGAAGCCCGCGACGGTGCCGCGCATCGGAAATAGTGCCGAAGATTGCCAGGGGCGACGTGCCGGTGTCTTGGGAGCGCTGTGCCGGTGGTAAGAGTACGTAGAGTGCATCACCGACCAAGCTGACACGAGCGGGGGTGAAGACCTCAAAGCTCTCACAAACCAACAACAACGACAACAAGCGCATTAAAAAAAAACCACGACAAATACAACAGCAGCAATACCGCCACATCTACTTGCAGTAGTACGCTTGTGCGCCAACAATCTTGCCAGCGACAACACCAGTCAGCACTGCACTCTTCCGACCCTTACCGACAGCAGCAGCACCCCCCACGCCCCCGTGTGCCACACGCCCGAGACTGCGCGTCTCACCTCACTCTCCCTCTTGGGCTTCGTCTCCTCGCCGGGCGGACTCAGCCTAAAGCCTTGCCCGTGGGGAGGTTGTGTCCAGCCCTTCTCCTCGGCAAGAAAGCTCCAGGCGTCCCTCCCGGCGGGCAGCGTCAAGTTCGCCGTGCCCTTCGACCGCTCTCGCGTCACCCGAGGCTTCGGCGGCGAGATCACTCGACACTTTCCCTCCTCCTCCTCCTCCTCCTCCTCCTCTTCTCTTACCTCCTTTTCGCAGGACTTCCCTCCCGCATGCTCTTGGTCGTCCCCAACGCCGAACTCGCATATTTCTTCGTTCGGGTCTCCAACCTCTCCCCCCTCGCTCTCAGAATCCGCGGCCGCCGCCGCCGCCGCCCGCCCCGGCGGACCTGGCCGCAGCGATTCCTCGGCCCCGCCCCCATGATCTCCGCTGACTCTTACTCCCCCCTCCTCCCTCCTCATCCCCCTCGTCCGCCTGCCTTCTCGTCGTCTCTGCGGTGCCGGTCGTGTCATCGTTCGGTGACGGCTGAACCATCCACTCCCCGACGTACCCGGTGCCGCGGTCAACCTCGCCGGCATCATCACCACTACCGCCGCCGTCGCTTTTCCTCCTCAGCTCGGTCCTCGTCGAGCACGGCGGTGGGCCCCGCCCCGCCGTCGTCCCGCGGCGCGGCCGAAGGCTGGTCTTCTTCCTGCGTGTCGCCGTACGGCAGGGGCTTCACACCATCATCATCTTCCTCTTCTTCCTCGCTGGAATCCTGATCACTATCGTCCTCTTTCTCTTTGCTGGTAACCTCACCCTCCATTTCTTCCTCAACGACAGCACTTGGCCAAGGGGAGTCGGCGTCCTCATCGGGGGACCCCCCCCCTGCCATTGGAATTCCCGTCTGCTGGGTCCCTGTATCCTGCGACCTTCCTCGACGAGCCTGCTGCGTCGGCAACGTCAAGAGGGGGGCACGACGAGGGCAGGCCGGGGGAAGACTTCGATCACGTTGGCGCCTCATTTCGCTTGCAGTGAAAGCAGGCGATCGGGCGAAAGCGCTTCAACTCTCACTGCGCTTCGCAACAAAGAACATTATTTTCCCACAAAGTTTTCTAGAGAGGGATGCATTTTGTAAGCGTGTCATGGTAACAAGCACGTTGATCTAACCACAGGTGCTTGCGACAAAGTGAGTGCTACAGATACAGAGGAACACGGAGAAATAGAAACAGTTGTAGGCGCCGAGCAGCATCGCAGAATTACCCAGAAAATCCTAGATACGGTAGGTTGCATGAGATGCCATACCCCCTAGACCGATCTCCAGGGCTCGATTACTCCACGACGACGAGGATGCCAAGATCAAACGATGCGGTTTCGAAAAGCTTTCGACGAGACGGTTCCAACGCCTACGGCCATTGTCGGCACCGCCACTCTTTATGTTCATCCAGGAGGTGCGGCTTGTTGCGCAACTTACAGCTGTAGACTGCATGTAATGCTCGATCTTCGCTCCAAAACAAGGAAGTCATGCTGGGTCTGATGGATTTTCATCATCGGGCCTGTACTACAGCAGTACAGCAGTAGTCTGCTGTTGTGTGCCCATCTCGTTCTTGCCTGCAAACGAACCACATCCAACAGCAGTATCCATTCCCCAAATGCACGCACACACTCGACAAAACGTCCCAGTGCGAACGCCTCCTCGTCATCGGCCGTGGTCCTTCTTGGTCCAAATTGTACATACCACAGCAGTTACGGCGGATGACCCCCCCCCAGACTGCTGTACAACATGGTACGGCATGTACAGCTGTACTGCTGCTCTTTCATGCCGCTATACATACGGGTTGGGAAGATGCCACACCGCGTGGACGAATTTTCTAAGCTCGATTACTCCGCGACGAAGAGGTATGCCGAACTCAATAGATAAGTTTCCGGAAAGCTCTCGACGAGACGGTTCCAACGCCGCCGCCATTTTCGGCACCGCTTTCCTGCCGAGCAATCGAGCTTTGAAAATCGGTCGAGGGGGGGGGAGGGTGATATCTTGCGCAACCTACGTAGTTTCAACGGGCTAACTGCTGTGTACCAACCAACTACGCCAACGTTTCCCTCTCTGAACCAAGTGCACTGCTGCAGCGGAAAGAAGGCTGACTGCTATCGCATTCAAGCAGGAAGCTCGGGTCTCGCACTCTCACTGCTACGACAGCAGTATTACGGCGACCTCACACAAAAGACGCGACGCAAAGGCCGACAAAGTCGGACAACTCACCTTGCTGGCGGGCGATGAGCCACTCAGTCCTTCGACCGAGCTATCGGATCCGCCGGTTCCTTCAATATGGCAGTTCTCATCCCCCCCGCCACCAACGCTGGCACCATTGCTTCTCCTCGGCTGGTCTTCTTGCTCGTCCTCCTCTTCCCCGTCGCTGTTGACCTCGATCTTCTTCCAGTGAAGGGGGGCATCAACCGTCTTGAAGGTGAATTGATCGTCCTTGGGAGGTTTGCTGCCACTTTGCGCCCAATACCTGATGAGCTGGGGCTTACTCCCGCATCTGTCGTCCTTACCGCCATCAGGAGGACAGTACCAAAGCACTTGGCCTTTGCCATCGCTAGCGTAAGTCCATCCCGCACGGCCGTGGCTGCTGCTCCGACGCACGCGCCTAGCCGGCGACCGCATCAGCACCTCTGTTTCGCGCGTTCACTGCTTTGATACAGCAGTGCTTCGTGTTCGACAAATATGCTCGAGCCACGTTGTGCCCATCCAAAAGCCACCGCGACAAGCTAGCTACCATGTGAGTCTGACGCTGTGTGCTGGCGCAGTTCTGCAGCTCTCCCGCGGAGGTTGCTTGCGACTCGAAGGCTTCAGGCCGGGGATTATTCGTACTGTCCCCGGATATTCAAATATTTTTCAAAAACCAGGCATGCTCATGTAGTTGACTTGAAACCCCATCAATTAACCCGCGGCCGGGCCCGCGGCGTCCTGCTTGCTTGCGTCTCTGTGTGGCTGGTCTTGTCTACTCCTTGACGCCATTTTCGAGTGATTGCTGGCCTACCACTGTCGCTGCTGCTGCTGGAGTGTGGCGAGTTGGGTTGCAGGATGGCGAATGATGCGGGCGACAGCAAGGAGGTGACGAACCCATCACTGAACCCCGATGTTTGTGCTCGCATGGTCGAGTTCATGCGAGGACAGTGCACGGCCAAGCAGTGGGGAGAGTGGTTGACGGTGCCGGTCGAGCTCGCAGCAGCACGTGGCGAGAAAGAGCTGACGGAAGAGCTGCTGCGGGCGGGGGCAGGCGGGGATCCAATCCATGAGGCCATACGAGCTGGACAACACGACGTCGTCAAGCACCTGCGCCAGGAACCGGAGCACCATCACCTCCAAGTTGCTCTGCGGATCTGCGATAAGGCAATGGTGTCCTTGTTGCTGGAGCTCGGCGCTGACGCTGACCCGGAAGACCACTGGACATACGGCGATTTGTTCTTCACGCCAATTCACCTCGCTGCAAAGGCAGGCCAGGCCGGGATAGTAGGCATGCTGATGGATGCCGGGGCGTGCGCAGACCGGTGTGCCAACGAGGACGCAAGTACTTGGGAGCAGAGGTATGACCCCGAGTACGATTGGAGTGGTATACGGATGACGGAGAATGCGTTGCATTTTGGTGCGATTGGGGGACACGTAGACGTGATCGATGAAATCATCAAGCGTCAACCATTAACCATGAGCTCGGTGGCGGAGTCTACGGGCTACACCGCTCTGCACTACGCCGCCAAACATAGCCAACTAGGCGTGATTGATGCTCTCGTTGAGGCCGGGGCCGACCTCGAAGCTGAGGGCGGCCTGGGAGTCGGCACTGCTCTTCACGTTGCCGCTGAATTCCCTGACAGCGAGGCCACGCTGCTGGCTCTGCTTCGGCACGGCGCTAAGGTCGACCCTATCCGGAACGGCAGCGAAACCCCCCTCAGTGTGGCAGTCAAGGCTCGCAACGTGTGTGCTGCGAAGGCGCTTGTCTCGGCCGGTGCCGACGTGAGGGAACACCTGCTTCGCGAGTCGGTCGAGTGTTCGCAGCACGACATGCTTCTCGCCCTGTTGGGGCGCGGTGCCCACGTCAACACGAAGGGAGCGTCCGACGGAAACACACCGTTGCACCTGGCCGCGGAGAAGAGTTTCAGGGTCAAAGTAGACGTTCTCTTGCAGGCAGGTGCCGACGAAACCGCTGTCAACCATAAAGGTCAAACCCCATTGGACGTGATCGGACTCAAGACAGATACTATGAGAACGTTGATGTTTGGTGACCACCGCGAAGAAGATGCCATTCGGACTCTGCTGGTAAACGCGCCCAAGGATAGGGCGAACAGAGCGTGGTCTCGTCGGGGTTTCTTTGTGCTGTGTCGCGCGTTCCCCGAAAGGGTGCAGCAGCAGCTGGTGCTGTCGGGAGACGACAGGGTCAACGTCGTGTGCTCCAACGTATGCTCCCAGGCATCCTGTGGGAACGATGATGACCGCTCGGATAGCCGCAACAACGCAAAACGAGTAGCAACCGCAGAGGAGAAGGAAGGTGTGGAGGAGCGACCGTCAGCCGCTCACGTCGAAGAGGGCGCGACAGCGTTTCGGGCTGCGATGGGCAGGCTGATTGGGCTACAGGTGGAGGTCGTGTTCAGGACGGTCTTGGAGTTCGTGTGATGACTGAAGCCGGAGGTGAGACGGTACCACAAGGATCGTCTTGTTCAAGTAGGTTCGTCGAGTCAATGGCCCAATCAATTCCATGGCAATGTCGACGATAGCACCCCTCGCCCTCTCGCCCTTCGGCGTAAAGTGGTTTATGACGTGTGCTCCACTGCCAAAGGCCAACGCGGAAGCAAGCCAAGTTGTTTTCGGCGGAGGTAATACCGAGCGTCTCAGAAGATTGCATTTCAACTAGTCTAGATTTTAGTCACAACATGGACCACGCCTCGTGGCTTGCTAGAACAGCTTTGCTGGTTTCTTCGTTCTTGGCGAGTCCGAACGGCCTTCGTTGTCCCCTCAGCGGTTGTGCTCCGGGCACGGGACGCCACCTCTCCCCCACCCTCCCTGGCTTGTCCCCGGTGTGTAGACTTCATGTCACCTCCCATCTCTCCAATCGTTCCTTTGCTTTCGGTTTGACGATGTGTGTCCAGCAGGAGCGGGAATGGCCTCGATGGCTTGCCGTGGCGGGTGCGGTTGGCTACAGATTACGCCGCGAGCAAGACGGCGGCTCGGTGCTCGCGCCGGGCATAGTAGCGTGAGAACCTATCTATACATCAAGGCAACATGTAGGCAACTGTTTTCCCCAACGAGAAACAAGAACCCGAGTCTCAATCAAGAGAGGAGGTCCTTAAGAACGCGCGCCTACTGTAGGCAAGATTAGCGTGGTAGATAACATTATTCTGTTCGTGGGGGAAAACTCGCTCTGTGGTTTGCTGCGCTTATTGGGGGGGTTGGGAACATAAGTGCTGAGTGATCCGTTCCCGTTTCGTTCATCCTGCATGTCGAAGGAATATGCAATCAATGCTCTGCTGCTGCGCTATTTGCGAAAGCGACGGTTACGTTGTTGAACTCCATAGATACGTTACTTGATACCTCGATCGCCAGTTTGGGTGCAGAAAAGCGTACAAGAGGTGCCGGGGTCCTTGTTGTCGAGCTTATCTCCAGTGGGTGCAAATCGGTGCTTTGCATAAATACACCGCCCATCTGGTCTCCATATCTTTATCTTTGTTCTCGTTTCGCTGATGGCACGCGAGACGTAAAGTCTTGCTTTATTATTTGGTGACGTTCTGGTTTCGTGGTTCGGGGTTTTATTTGGAGTAGGCAAACGTTACTATTGTTCATTGTGGGCTGTTTCGTCCGGGGCTGCAAGATCCGGCCCTCTTAGCAGCTCGCAGTTGCATTTTCTAGCTACCTATGTCGACGAGTAGCGTCGGCTTTGCGGGTCCCAAGCGTGCTATTTTGTTTTTGCTATTAATAAGGGCCGATCGTCGTGGCAGGGGCAGCGTCGTCCACGATCGTTCATCACGGCGGCAGAATACTAAATAGCTGATCGACGAAGACGCCGCGCCACGAAACCTCACAAGAAAACAAGCTCCCAACATACACGTCGCTGGTGGTGCAAGTACTTCGTTTGTACGTACGTACATGACTGCAGGAAAAAGCAGCCCCCGCGAGTGATGCTGATAGTTTACGCGGTCGTTTCTGGGCGTTGTCGTTTTTGAACGGTCTGCAGCCGTACATGCGGGCCCACTGCTGCAGCGATCAACGTGTGATACGTACATAGTCTAGCAGTGCCTCAGGCCAACCGACCTCGGTGTTTCCGATCGTTTCGTGGAAATATGGCCACCTTCAGAATGACTCGTGCCCGACACGACGACGGTCGACCCTTTTCCCCTTGCTGAACCCACGGGCATATTCTCTCACATGCCATCGGCGCTGATGTAGTCGGTGTGATTTTGGCGTTCAAGGAAAGTCGGCGCGCGCTCGTGACATGCACGTACCGCCCTGTTGAAGCTTGGCGCTGCCGAAAGAGTGGAAAGAAGAGGCACCGCTGGTCCTCGTGATGTCAGTTTTGCTTGCTATGCTTGCGATATTTTTGCGAATGATCTGGCTACGGTTTATTTTCCAACAGAAAGTTGGAAAGAGTGCGCCAATGCGCTTCTCTTGTGGTTGGGATCAATCCCCATCACGATATGTTGAGGGTTACCTGTCATTCTGCTTTGGTAGGTGTTGCTGGGCGTAGTCGGCGAGGCACTCTGTATGGGGTTTGAAACAGGGGCGGCCATCAACGTTTCTAGGTGGATGGTGCTTGCAGATAGCGACTCCAACCAACGCCTCTCCGCATGGGTGCGGAGTTTTTTGCGTCCCAGGCGCGCTACAAGTGCCGCAGGGTTGGGACAGGCGTTGTAGTCCAACAAATCGGCCAGAGAACGAAAGGGCCTGATTGTGCCGACGGGCATGCACAACAAATCCTCGCCCAAACGCGCGGGTGTGCCTTCACTGTGTCGGTTTGTTCGATGGGTGCCCACGTCGTGTTGTAGAAATTCGACGGCGAGCTTTGGTGAAAGAGAGACGTAGATACACAAGGTGAAAATGTGAAAATCGCCGAGGAAAGGTATGGGTTGTTTGCAAACTGCAAACATAGGCATACCAGATGCCACCATGCTGCCGGATGTTGATTGGGTAAAGGACAGTAGAATGCCTGTTTGGAAGGTCGTATCGCGTAGGTCCCCAATCCAACTCATTGCTCACCGGGAATAGATTTAGCGCAACTTCAGCCACTGCTCCACCCTGAAGGCATGAGAACAACATGCGCCTACGAAAAAATCTAGCAGCGTCCTGTTATCGGCGATTTCATCAACAACAACGACCTACCCTTTCCGTAGGTGACTTTGCAGCAGAATCACAAGATGATGTTTTTCCCGTTGACACTTTGGGTACATGGAGAGGAGAGGGCCCAGAAATAGAGAGAGCAGGGTGGTGCCACAAAGTGGTCCGCCTGCTTATGCCTGTAAGTGGCACATGGGTTGATCCGTCTATCAATGAGTGGTCTTCTGGGTTCCCGCGGTTCTCGGAGCGCTGCCAAGAACCGGTTCTCCTACAAATTAAAAGGGTGTCCGCATGAATATTATTCTTCCAGGATACCTGTCATCCACAGCAACAAACAACAGGCACACACAGAACAATTTCCTACGGACACCACGCACTCCACAACTCAAGAAACCTAACAACAGCTCCGGTCGGCGCAATGACTAAAACGCCCGTTACACGGTACCCAGAACTATACCCTCTTCGCAATAAGGAAACTGGCAACGCTCCAATAATACATGCCACATCGTATAAGACTGGGCAGCTTTGCAAGGAAGACACATTCCCAACAAAGCGCTCGCTAACTTATGTATCAAAATGACTGCAACGAAACAGCGAGCCACCCTGCACAGCCCCCGTCTCCGCACTACGCCCCTTTCACACCCACCCCCCCGGCCCCAACAATGAAAGCCCTAACTCCAAACACCCTCGGTGTCCAGTGATGCGCGTTGGGAGCAGACGAGTTGATGCAGCTAGTCTTGATTTTGGCAACCACAAAGCGAACTCCCACCATGTGACCAAAATAACGTGTTTATCCACATACCAAAAACAAAAGACACGCCTACAAAACGCGAGAATATGATTCGCACCGCCGTGATGGAAAACCCCGGATTTCCACCCTTTGATCCGTGCTTGGCCACCCCTGAAACGCCACTCCTACAATCTTCAGTCACGGCTCCTTGCTTAAATATAAAACGAACAGCAAGGGCGACATCGTCTTGGTCGTCGTCAGCTGGAGCGTCCAGTCGGAAAAAAAAAAAACGCTTGCCTCAGCGTAGCAATTGTATCAGTCACGTGCACCATCCGAACGTCTCGGGGACAGTTTTTTCCTTGTTTTTAGCCTCGTTAGGACCCCCACCACTCACCAAACTCTGACACACACACTCAAAACACGCACAGGATCCAAAACATCGACACAACGTTTCTTGTATTCTCCCTGCCGGGCTTTCAGGGAGGCAGACCAACGGCCTGGGAAACCTGTTGCATACGTAAAGTTTCCCATCATTCCGGGAACCGCAGAGTATCGGGTCGATAACTATTTGCTACCATGGTACTACCGTTTCAAGTGTCGTTCGCCGTCGACGCACACGAAAACAAGCAATTTGATGGACCCGATTCTGATTGTAACTGGTCGAACGGCCAGAAAAATGGAGGTTCGCCATCTCGCCCCCCCAAGCAAGGACAGCTACAGCTACTCTTACCGCTGTTGTTGCATAATCTAGATAGCACACCAACTTTGGGTCTCCTTGAAGACCGCCCAATCATGCAACCACATCCACCGCGAACAAAAGACAGTAGTTATCATACACATGCACACACAGCAGGAGTCTAAATAGTCGATCGCACACAACAGACGCACCAATCAAATCTTCCCCCCATGGCACAACATCACGTTGCCTCGTTCGTCACAAGGAACGGAGTCAGGAAAGGCCACGGCGCAAGCCAACAGCAGCGATACTACGTCTTCGCGTCGTGGTTTATCCCCTCCCTCGAGCCACGTAACAAACGAAGCGAAGATTGAGAAACAATCAGGCAGCTCAAGGACATGTCACAAAAGAGCCTATATCCGCAGGGCAACGCAACCAATGCCGATAACTTCGTGGTAATCGAAGAGCTCCTAGGACAATCACACCATCCAAAGGCACAGGGAATTACTCCTTCAACCGCACGACACACTTCCGCCCCCCCCCCCCCCCCCCCC